GGTTGTGCAAGATATCCTCCGTCCACAACAGCGGCCCAGTATAATCATATGCTTAGGGATCAGGGCTAAGGGCTTGGGTTTTGGGGTTTAGGGTTTAGGGCTATATTGGGGTTATATTGGGGTTGTATGGGGGTTGTATTAGGGGTTATATTAGGGGTTATATTGGGGGTTATATTGGGGTTATATGGGGGTTAAGTTGGGGTTATATTGGGGGTGATATTGGGGTTATATTGGGGTTATATTAGGGTTATATTAGGTATTAGGGGTTATATGGGGGTTATATTGGGGTGATATTGGGGTTATATTGCGGTTATATTGGGGTTATATTGGAGTTATATTGGGGTTATATTAGGGTTATATTGGGGTTATATTAGGCTTCTATTGGGGTCATATTGGGGTTATATGGGGGATAATGGAAAAGAAAATGGAAACTACTATAATGGGTTCTATGATGTAGAATAAGAAAGTAAAGAGCGTGTAGTCAGCCAGGATTGAATTGGAGCTTCCTCATCCTTTTACCAAGCTCCATCTCAGTGGGTCCAGTTATCGCCTCCAAGTGCAGAATGGGCAGAAGTTCAAGAAGAAGAAGCGGAGGGTTCAGGATGTAATGAAGCATCCTGCAACGCTGAGGGTCCAAGTACTCAATAACCGTATACGTGCCCAAAACCTGTACCAGTATTAATATTACCCAAATCCCACTAATTATTGGCTACATGGACCCTTAGGGCAATGTATCAACGAAAAAAACAAGTGCCAGTTTCTTTCAGGCCCTGCTGCTGACTAGCTGGCGCATCTTAAGCTCATTCTGCAAGTGGCATGGTTTTATATCATACACGGGATATGGAAAATGAAAGCGGAAGCTACTATACTCCATATCAGGGTTTTATAGGGAGTTTTTTCGGTAGCCGCTTCAGATTCGCACTGCAGTCCTTCCCTGGATGCAGGTAAGGAGGAGGAGGAGGAAGACAAAGAGGATGACGAAGAAGATGGGTGGGGCGACTGGACAAAAAAAGGTGTGGTGGTGTGCTTACAAGCGTGTGAGATGCGCGGACACGTGATGATTGCGCAGCAAGTTCCGATCATGCAGCCTGCATGGTAACCCTGATGAAGCCTTCAGATGCCTTCAGCACAAATAGACGAAGGGTACTTGAGCAAAGGGGGAGACATGGCATGAATTTCAGTCAGTGTTTGTGCGGGCTGGTGTCCAGCCCGGTAACTGTGCACACACATGTTGATCCTGAGGATTTCCTAACCCTGAGGGTCCAAGGACCCCAATAATGGGGTTTTAGGGCCCAAATACTATAATCTGAATGGTAAGCCCTAAACCCCCAATTAGGTCAGTCCTTGGACCCTCAGAGTACTTCCCATGATTATTGTTATTATAATAACTATTAGTATTGGTATTACTATTACTATTTTGGCTGAGATTCGCAAGCCAGTACATGGATGGAGGAATCTTGTACGACTCAGGCTTCCCATGATAATCATTATTAATATAACGCATGATAGTATTGTTATCATCATTATTATCATTATTACCATTGTTAGCATTTTCCCATGATACTGTAGTTTCTAGGGCAAAGGTACCCTCAGGGTCCAAGGACCCAACTAGTAGGGCTTTCAGGGCGCAAAAATGACTCATATGATAGTATCTGGGCCTTGAATCCCTATCATTTGGGTCCTGGACCCTCAAGGGTCTAGAAGGCGGTACAAGATTTCCACCAACCAGAAACTGGATGGCCGTCAGCTCATATGTGTCATTGCATTGGTACGTAACCTACAGTTTGAGAGGTGTCAAAGACGGCAAGTCCTCCAAGAAAAAGGAGAAGACTGTCAACCCTTTCACGCTGCTCCTGCAGAAAGGCCATTTGGATGCAAGTTTAGTGGTTCCTTTCTAGGAGCGCGAGTAACTTGCAAGAATCGAGAAGATTGCGTGGGAGAGAGGGAGTGAATGAGAGCACGAGAGGTACAGTGCTACTTGTTCCCATGAGGGACGACCCTGCATGAGGAGAAGGACATCATCATCTCAAATTTTTCACACCATGCCATGACAAGTCTGTGGACATTGGGTGGCTTTACGGGCTGATGCCGGCATCCGAAAGAAGTTGGAAGCAAGGCGCGCCTTGCCCACAACTGATGGAAAGGAGCTTGCCGATCACCCCTCCCCAGACCCCTTAAAGGATCCAAGACATGGAACCCCCCCCAATATGAACCCATTACTGCATTGGGGAAACTAGGGGATTATTAGGGGGTTCCTTTTTTTGGATCCTTTAGGGGGTCCGGGCCTAAACGGGATCTGCTGGGCAGAGCCTTGGGGCTAAACCCTGGCGTTGAGCCGTCGCCCACCAGAAAGGCAAGGAAGCGAGGGAAGGAGGGAGGAAGTGGGGAAGAGGAGGGAGCATTTTTGAAGCAACAAGTTCTAGCGCAGCTGTGAAATGCAGACTTCCAGACACGCTCCTCAAAGGGATACTTTCCATTTTGGTCATCCCCATCAATTTCCATTTCTGGAGTCCTGCCGGCAGGCAAGTTTTCAGGTTGAATATGCTCGCAATCGTCCATATGAGGCTCCCCCGAACGTTACTCCTCCCTGTTGGGGAATCCCTGTGCGGTGGACATGTTCGCCAAATTCTACCTGGACCCCATAGCATGTAGAATAATCGCCTTCTGGTCCCTTTTCAGGGGTTTTGGATCTTACTTACTTTTTGGTGTTTATGCAGAGTTTTTTTGAGGATCCCCAGAGAAAAGACTCTTGATGCTCTCGATCAGGGGGCACCTGTGCATCATTTTTATGGGGGTTTCCCAAACTTAGGGATACCATTTTGGGGGTCATAATAAGGACTATAGTATATTGGGGTTTATATTGGGGTCCCCTATTTTGGGAAACTACCTCATGATGAGCATTGCATCAGCTTGAGTCGGGGAATGGACATCTGCCTTGCTCAGGGAACCCAGCGAGAAGCTATCATTCCAACATACACCCTAAACCCTAAACCCTTAATCGTCAACCCTAATCCCTTAACCCTAAACCCTCAACCCTAAGCCCCTAACCCTAAACCCTAAACTTTAAACCCTACAAGATTTTCATCCCGATCGCCTATTGCGGCTTCCTCTAACTTTGTCAACATCTGGGGGTTTCCCAAAATTGGGGGGTGCCTTTAAAAGGGTCTATAGGGCGTAATATAGGAGATATGCAGGGATATATGAGGTATAGGCGTATAGGATTTCCCAAAATTAGGGGTGCGTTTTTTGGGGGGTTCCCATAACAAGCACTATCGTATTTTGGGGTCTAGATTAGGGTCCCCCTTTTTCGGGCAACTACCATCTGGTGATCAAGGAAAGGGGAAAGGCGATGACAACGGGAGCCGGGTCCTCAGCATGACGTGTCATCCGCTGTTCTCACGGATCCATAGCCGTAAGGGTGGAAGGACCCAAATAATAGGGTTTTAGGGCCCATACTGTAATATTAATGGTACTTGGGCCCTAAAGCGGTATTATTTGGGTCCTTGGACCCTTAGGGTAGTTGATGCAAGGACCCCTACTGTCATGAGCCTTGAATGGTCTGTGGAAAGAGTTCGGTAGTTTCGCGAGGTACCTGCGGTGGTCCTGGCATGTCCTGACACCAGAATTAGTGGGTGTTTGAGTGACCAGTGATCCTGCAGCCTGTGGCATTCGAGCGTGAGAGGCTCAGAGTTTAAGAATGTAGCTTGGGCTGAGACTCCAAGAGCCTATGATCAAGGAGTCATACCTGCAGTGTTGGATTCAAGGGCGACAGCTCATTTTGGGTTGGAGTCTCTGGCTCACCATTGATGGATGTACGACATGGAGGCTGAGATGCAGATCGAGTTCCGTTTCACCTTCCTACAGTTCTCCGCTGCGCCCAGCCCGGAAGTTTCTCCGCTGCGGCGTTCAGCGAGTGAGCCGCACAGTTTCCAGCCTTCCTATGTGGATCGGGCACCCCACGGGCGAGACGCAGTTCAGCAAATTCCGCTCCAAGAGTCCGATCCTGAGGAGTTGCTGGGTTGCTGTTAAGGAACTTGAATTAAGTTACCATAATGGGTATATATAGGGATAATGGAAAAGAAAATGGAAACTACTATAATGGGGTTATTTAGGGCTTAGGGTTTAGGGTTACCATAATGGGTATATAAATAGTAAATAATAGGGTTTCCCCAATATAGTAACTTAATTTAAGTTCCTCAACAGCAACCCAGGTTACCTCTTGTGTCCCACCAGTTTACGGTCACCGCCCAGCCGGCACAAGCAGATGTTCCAGAAATGCCAGGGCTTGCGCAACCTCGTGCAGCCAATGTACCAGCACAGTATTGGCCAAGTCGTGGGAGTGCAGGTCACCCGCAGCTTTGCAATCGACCATGCGTGCATCTTGCACGAGGACGCTGTCCAGATGGTCAAGACTGTCAGTTTTGCCATTGGAACCATAGACCTGAGTGCAAGCCCTGCAGAGCTGACCGGCAGCTTCTGCGCTCCCTGACACGGCTTAATTTGCTGAGGGTGACGTGGAGACTGCTCGAGGAGCTAATTCGATTGAGAATCCAAGATGCAAGGCCTGCCCAAGTAGCCTATACTATCCATGTTTTTGTTTAATGATTTTGTGGGTCCCTTGTGTGGTAAACAGACCGCGTGCACATAACACCAGGCCAATCTTCGACGTCTTGTCCCAGGAGTTGGAGGATGCCAGACAAGCTTGGCAAGCAGGAGCCAGACCGCAGACCATCAGCGACGATGCCTTGCTAAACCTCCAACGACGCTTACGACACTCCTCTCTTAACTTTGGCACCCTTCTGACGTTTGTCAGCTGGCGATGCAGACCTGAGAGTAGAGCTCGCATGCTTCGGCAGCTGGCTGCTCTCCGGGCCGGGTGAAACTCGGCTTACGCCTCACATGTACCCTACGCAATCCCTGCGCTATGTGTGGGTTTAGATATTCGAACCTCTTGAATCCCGGGGATGGGCGTTTCTGCCCGGTCGTCCCATGAACCCTCTCATTACTTTCAACGATCAGGCCTAACAGTTTCAATGGCAGACGAGTTATACTTCTGCCGTGGCCAATGTTCTGTCCAGTGTTGCATGACCAGAATTCGTTGGATTTAGGCTGAAGAAGCCCTACAGAAGGCAAGGGGCTGCTGACACGTTAATCCAGATAGATGTGAACCGAGTGAGAAATCTGCAATCGCAATTCTAGCAAAAGTGGTTGTTTGTCCTTGCCAGGAATGCACCTAGGAGGGCTTCAATGTCCAAAAGAACTACTGCAATTACGAATGCTTCCTCCGCTTCTTCTACTGTTACTGCGTACTAGTCCATTCTGCGACTACGAAAACATGCATGATGGCGACGCCGCCAGCAACGGCCGCAGCGACAGCAAGGCAGCGTCTGCACAACCACCACCGCCGCCACCGAAACGGCCACGGCCACCGCCCCGCCCCACCGCCGCCGCCTGCGCCTCTGCCTCCGCTTCCACCCCCGCCCCCGCCGCCGCTAAGAATGAAAGCTTGTGCCTCTACTAGCATTCATGTAGCTGTCACAATAGCACGACGACTATCCTCCATTAGTATCAGCACTTCAAGTCGCAAATGCAGAGGCTAGCGCTCTCTCCAAGACCTTGTGCACATAAGAGCTCCAACAAGTATCGAATATGGCAATATCCGGCAGATAGATGGTAAACAGCGATCAAACCAGTGCCCGCCCTTTGCCTTTGCCGTGGCTGGCGTGCGTGGAGAATCCATCTGTTGCCGACGTTGTGGACGCTCAATGATGTCCATCATCCTGTCCGCGATGTCTCACCATAAGCGTAGAGAGAATTTGATAGAACAGACCTCGTTGCCAGGAGACACTAAAAAGCAGCAGGGCAGTGTCGGTGGTGACGTGACTCTCTCCTTTAGAAAGGAATAAGTAATCGTCATTGGTACTGTTGGTGAAAGATGAAGCGTGAAACACAGAAGAAGTGAAAGGACAGCTATTATGTGTGGCAAACGTACCATCGACGATCGGCTAGCAGGCTAGCCGCAGACATCTAGATGTGGTAATTTCCCAAAATGGAGGACCCCAATATAGACCCTAAAATACTATCGTCCTTATTATTTAG